TTTGAATATATAAATTATATTTTAGATTTAAGATAATAAAAATTATATTGTGACACAAATTTTAAATTATTAATAATTTATTTTAAAATATTAAATTTAATTTTCTAAATAGATATAATAAAAAAATGAACTAAATAAAATATTATAAAAATTTCTAAAAGCACTCTGATGAAAGATAGGTTATAGAAATCTATAAAAATATTCGCATTGAAAAATAAATCTTAAAAATATTTTCGTGCAACATTCGCATTAATGAAAGTTTATACTTTATTTATAGAACTTTTAACATCTTCATGTCATCTTTTCCATGACTACATCACACTTAATTTTATAGAGTTTGCTTTTTTTTTATCACGTGTGATTTTTTTTTAAATAAGTTGTCTTCCAACATTTTAAGAATTTAATTTTTAGTTTTTTTAATTCTTTTCAAAAATTTAATTTTTTATTAATTTTTCATCACATAAATTAGTTATTAAGATTAAGTTTTCTATATTAAATGATGATGTGTACTAATAATTAATAATTGACTTAACTTGATGCTCATATGATTCTTAGTAGATATCAAATTATATGATTGAGTTTTTATTCCTCATAATCATAATAATAAAGAGTTATTTTCATAACATTTATTTTTTTATAAAAAAAAGTCGGTTCATGAATTAATAGAAAAATTATGTGTTATATAATTTGTCTTCTATTAGATAATAATTCAATCAGTCATGATTTATTAGCATTCATTATTAGTTAATAAAGAAAATTTAACTCCAATGACTAATTTATAAGAAAAAAAAAATAATGACAAACTAAAAATTGAAAATGATGAACTAGTCATGTAAGTAAGATGATAGGTTTGATGAGTGTGTGGTAAGTTGAATGTGTTGTAAAGTTGTAAGTTGTATAATTACTTAAGTTGATTTATGTTGTTTGCTCAAGATGCGAATGTTGTAAAGATGTATGTTGTTTACATTGTTTAAGTTGACATGTTGTGAAGTTGAAAGTTGAATGTTGCATTATTGTATGTTGTTAAAGCTATTAAGTTGAATATTGAAAGATGAATAAGTTGTTAAGTTAATAAGCTATAGATATGTGGGTTAGATATATATCTTAGCTACAATATGTAGAAACTAGAGGGGAGTTAAAAATGTTTTTGAATTTAATATCCCATTATGCAGATATACATTGCTATGCTCCGAAAGCCCGGTTGAACCCTTCAATAGGTAAGTTGGCCTCTAAATGGGTAAGTTGTTTTTCAATTGTCTCCTTTAGGTTTTATGTGGTATTCGTGTGTGAGCAAGATCAAGACACATGTGTATAAAACGATCAACCAAGTAAAGTATGAAATCGGAGGTTAAAATCCCTAACCTTATCAGAGGACTGTGGTATTTGGAGGGTAGTTGGTGAACTAATCTCATAAGTGACTTAGTTAAGCTAGCTAATATCGTGGTAGGCTCATATCCAAACTGTTTTACCTTAACATAGTAACATACTTCCTTGTTTAAGTGACAAAACATGAGAAATCAAACTAAGTTGTTTATACCTGCCTCTCTTATGAGGCTTGACACTGTACTATACTTGACTTAGTTGAGATAGGTCTAACACTATGATTCGATAGGGATCAGACACTTAAATTGTTCACCTCAGTTGTAAGAGATCTTCGTAGTTGATATACATGATGACACATTAGTTGTATTTATATATATGTAGATTATGTCATTTTGTTAAAGGTATTGAGGTGGATGATAATCAAATGAGTGTTTGTGTTGTTCTATGTTGTTTATCATGTACTAATGATATAATTGTACATGTTTGGTAATATGTATATGTGCAAACTGAAAGTGATTAAGTTGAAGGTGTAAAGATGTAGGAGCCATTATCTAATGAAAGTTGTGAGTGTGATATTGTCTAATGACCATATGTTGTATTTTGTCTATAATGAAGTTGCCTAGTTGTACACGTTGTTTCAGTGTCTTAAGTTGTACGACGAGACCTAATATGATGTAATGAATGATGTTCATTTTAAGTTGTTTATGTTGCATGTTGTTGTATGATATTAACTTTGTATCACAAATTTATCTTGTGTTTTTTCTTATGGTTTGAGACTGCTATAATTATATTTGATTTGGGAGTAGGACAAGATTAGCGAGCCAAATGGTGTTGTGTGATGATGAGTCACATCGGAGGTGACTCTCTTTTGGATGTTGTTATCCTAAGGTAACTAGATTTTGTATAGACGTTAGACTAACGATTAGGTTTATCGTATGTATAGTAGTTACTTCTTTTGTCTCAAGTATGTATATATGTTCAAGAACAATCATTTTATTTCTTACAAATATAACTGCTTACATGAGATTTACCTACTTGTTGCATAATGTTCTAGACGGACTAATGTTTGATGTTAATCCTTCTGTTTAATTGTTGTTGGATTGTAATAAGTGGTGTGATCAGGCGAGTCGTTACAATTAATTTCATTCGTAATTAATTTTATAAATATTTACACAAAAACATACTTAATAGTATTTGTGGACGTAAATTTAGACAACAAAAATAATGAAAATTTCATTTTAAAATTAAGAAAATTATATGATATTTATAAATAAAAAAAATTAAAAAAAAATTAGACATTTCAATCTCAATCTCATTATACATGACAAATTATATTTAAATGGAAGTGTACAAAAATATTAACTATAAGTGTACTTAAATTAAATACTTATGTTTGTAAGAATATATTATTTTAAAGAAAATATAAAATTAAAAATATTTGCTTGAAGAAAAATGTATTCCCGTGATTTTTCCTTCAAAATGGAGCACTAGAACTAGAACTAGAACTAGAACTAGAACGTGTCCTTAATAATATTGATGGTTATAAGGAGGAAACAGTAATGGTGCATGCTTTGCATTCATAAGTACATGGGTCACTATGGTCGCGCCACTCCGCTATGGAACACGCTGTTGCAAGTGAGACCACACTGCACCAATGCATGCGCCATCGCACGCTACGCTCGCAGCGGCCAACTCGACCACGCACGGAAGGTGTTCGACGAAATGCCTCTCCCTCACAGAACCATCTCTTCGTGGAACTCCATGGTCGCCGCGTACTTCCAAGCCCGCCAACCGCACGAGGCCCTCCACCTGTTCGAGAAAATGCCCCACAGAAACACAGTCTCGTGGAACGGCCTCATCTCCGGCCACATCAAGAACGGAATGCTGCGCGAAGCGCGCAGGGTGTTCGACGCAATGCCCGACCGCAACGTCGTCTCCTGGACCTCCATGGTGCGCGGCTACGTGCGCGGCGGCGACGTCGCCGAAGCGGAGCGCCTATTCTGGCAGATGCCACACAAGAACGTGGTGTCGTGGACCGTCATGCTTGGTGGGTTGCTGCAGGAGGCTCGCATTGAAGACGCCCGCAGGCTGTTTGATATGATGCCTGAGAAGGATGTGGTGGCGGTTACCAGCATGATTGGAGGGTATTGTGAGGAGGGTCGATTGGATGAGGCGCGTGCGCTGTTCGATGAAATGCCGAAGAGGAATGTGATTACTTGGACCGCTATGGTTTCCGGGTATGCGAGGAATGGGAGGGTGGATGTTGCCAGGAAGCTTTTTGAAGTGATGCCGGAGAGGAATGAGGTGTCCTGGACGGCTATGCTTATGGGGTATACTCATAGTGGGAGGATGAGAGAGGCTTCGGAGCTTTTTGAGGCGATGCCGGTGAAGGCGGTTGTTGCTTGCAATGAGATGATCATGGGGTTTGGGCTTGATGGGGATGTGGATAGAGCAAGGCATGTGTTTGAGGGAATGAAGGAGAGGGATGATGGAACTTGGAGTGCCATGATTAAGGTGTACGAGAGGAAAGGGTGTGAGTTGGAAGCGTTGGGTTTGTTTGGGAGAATGCAGAGAGAAGGGGTTGCGCTGAATTTCCCTTCGTTGATTAGTGTTCTCTCTGTGTGTGCCAGCCTGGCGAGTCTTGACCATGGCAGGCAGGTCCATGCTCAGTTGGTGAGATGCGAATTTGATCAGGATTTATATGTTTCCTCGGTCTTGATTACGATGTATATTAAGTGTGGTGATCTTGTGAAAGCAAAACGGGTTTTTGACAGGTTTCCTTTGAAGGATGTTGTTATGTGGAACTCTATGATCACGGGTTATTCTCAGCATGGGTTGGGAGAGGAAGCTTTGGATATTTTCCATGACATGTGCTCCTATGGAGTTCAACCAGATGATGTTACCTTCATTGGAGTTCTTTCAGCTTGTAGCTATAGTGGCAAGGTGAAAGAAGGGCTAGAATTGTTTGAATCAATGAAATGCAAATATCGAGTGGAACCTGGAATTGAACACTATGCTTGCCTGGTTGATTTGCTAGGTCGAGCTGGGCAGGTGAATGATGCAATGAAACTAGTAGAAGAGATGCCTATGGAACCTGATGCTATTGTTTGGGGTGCATTGTTAGGAGCATGCAGAACCCATATGAAGCTAGATTTGGCTGAAGTTGCAGTTAAGAAACTTGCCCACCTAGAACCCAAAAATGCTGGACCTTATGTCTTGCTCTCAAATATGTATGCATCTAGAGGAAGATGGGGGGATGTTGAAGTCCTTAGGAAAAAAATAAAAGCTAGAAGTGTTATCAAATTGCCTGGCTGTAGTTGGATTGAGGTGGAGAAAAAGGTACATATGTTCACTGGGGGCGACAGCAAGGGCCACCCTGAGCAGCCTATTATCATGAAAATGTTGGAGAAGATAGGGGGATTGTTAAGGGAAGCTGGGTACTGTCCTGATGGTAGCTTTGTTCTTCATGACGTGGATGAGGAAGAGAAGACACATAGCTTGGGTTATCATAGCGAAAAGGTAGCCATAGCATATGGACTCCTAAAAGTGCCTGAAGGTATGCCAATTAGAGTTATGAAAAATTTGCGGGTTTGTGGTGATTGCCATTCTGCGATTAAATTGATTGCAAAAGTCACTGGAAGGGAGATCATTTTGAGGGATGCTAATAGATTTCATCATTTTAAGGATGGTTACTGTTCATGCAAGGACTATTGGTGATTCCTTGAAACACGTATGGCATAAGATTTGAAAAAGCTGTTGGAATAGAGGGTTGCTCTGTCCCTGAGCATGATGGGCTTAGATACTGTGTACTTTGGTGGGCCGTATTTTACAGTCAAACAGAAGCTCATTAGTACAAATTGCAATTGTAATATACACTACCGAGTAATTTTGTACATTCTGCTCATCTGCTGACAGCATCATTTGGGATTATCATTAAAGAAAGAGATCTAATGCTTATACCGTTTGCAGCCTCAAAAGTTTGTATTCAAAATTTAAAATAGATGGAATTAAAGCATGTGCTTTCAAAGAATTGGCACTTGATTGATGCCAATTGCTGACAATTTTAGTGGCTCAACTGAAGCAGTCCAAGGCGGATATGAGAATGTTTTAAACTGGTGTTGGTATGGATATGCTCTGACCCATATACCACTATAACTGGAGTTGTGTTTCTGGAACTTTTGATGAGGATGCAACCTATATCACATTGTAAGAACATTAATTGCAAGGTAACCATTTAGTAGCACCAGAAACCACTTGATACTCTTGTTTTATCTGTTCTACTTTAGCCACATTGTATTTTAAAGTTTTATAAAGGATAATAATGAGGGTTGATAGAATACTGTTAATTTCCTTACTGAAATAGGTTGTTTTCCCTTCTTATCTTCGCACCTGAAAGCAACTTTTGAAGCTATGTAAAACTATAATGTCCTGTTTGTTTTGTTATAAAGGTGTGCTTAGACAGATAACTGAATTACCAGCTTGTTAAGATAACTCTTTTTGGCTAAAAATTATCCCAAAATTCTCGTTCAATTGCCTACAAAATGCTATTAATTGAAAATTTTGAATTAAGCCAGTCTTTTTAGGTATGAAGTCCTCACTCTTTAATTTGCATTTCTTGTGTGAGAAATAGTGTCCAGTGAATAAAGCTTGTTTATTTTGGCATACTTTTTAAAATTTTTGACAACAGAATGGTTTGCTTCCCTCCAATTGATTGTATTGAGGGATTAACTTTGGCACTCGGTTGTTAACTTGTTTCCGTGACAATACTCAGAAGAGTCTATCATGATACATCATAGATCAGGGATTATATCCTTAACATGTTGCCAGACTCTGAATCTAGTTATGAGAGATTTTTAACTTCTTTTTTTTTTTGATAAATGAGAGATTTTTACTTAGAATGATAGTATACACAATGTATGAAGACACATCATTATTTTAATTACAATGTAGTTGTTTAGCATCAAAATTTGTACCATTATTTAATATAAAATGATGTTTTAGCATATAATTAGCTTAGTGTGTACACAACTTAAATAAATCGAGTTTACACAAGAATTTCTCACATTGAATGTAATGCATATTCCCAACATTCCATTTTCAGGAGGCTAATTTGTCTATTCCTGCCATTGTTCCTCACTTACTCACTTATGTCGTACTAGGATCCATGACATAGTATTTGTTTTTTATGCAGAAAATTGGAAGAGGCAGTTGACGCTTGAGGATATAAGATTGGAATCTAAGATGATGTTACAACAGAAATTTGCATAACCTTGTGATGTGCTTAAACTGAAATTTGCCTCAACTCGGAAAGAATTCAAACAACAATCTCCCGAACCCAGCATATGCTCCTGCTGTATGATTTAATTGGGACATATAGATGATAATTCATAAAGAATTTAGGGCAAAATTCTTATCAATCTGGCATCATATTCTCCATTATAGACAAAAGTATGGGTTCCTACTGTCCGATTTCATTGAGAGGTTCTTATTTCTTAACATTGGCACTCATTTGTTGCTATGAAAACACACACAGACCCATCAAAGATGAGCTAGAAAAAAATATTGCGATGCTGCCGGGAACAGTTTTCTTTCTGCGATGTTACTTCTTATTATAATAGCCAAGTGGCATCATCAGCATTCTACATGATATGAGAGGACGAGTAACTCTCTTCACCAGTCTCAGAAAGTGGTCCTGTCTGGGGTCATTACATTCATTATACCTTGTTGATCCAATTACGATAACTGTATATCAGCTTGTTTGATGGAGTCAACCCCTTGCCTTCCTAGGCATGATTCCATCATTGTTAAGCATGGTCTATTCTGTTTTTTACTCAACCCGAAAACACCCATATCCTTTGCACTTTGAGTTTGAGCTGAGCTGTTTTTGGTTGTTGAATGTAGACTATTGACCGTGCTATAATTATTGTGGGTGGTGGAATATGATTTTTTTGTGTAATCTTTAAAAGTGTTTGTAGTTCAACTTATTGATTTTATAAATAAATAAAAGGTTTGACTATGAGAACAATGAAATTAAGGACAAAACCATGGTAGATGCAATTAATAGTGTTAAATTAATGTATGATTCAATTAAGATTGACCTGCTCGTGTGTTTGAGATCTATATTGCCCATAGAATGATAGTTCATGGTATTGCAAGATATATTTCCTGATGTACGTTACCTTTGTAGATGCACTTAATAGTGTTCAATGATTAGAGAAAAATGAGATGAAAAACAAACAGGCAAGATAATGAGTGTATCGACACATAATGAATCTAGGTGCTGATACATAATGAGATGTAGGTGATTCAGCTTTTTAGTTATTTTATTTTACTCTACTTTTGTGCAAGGAAAATCCATAATAAAACCTTAGTAAGAAAAAGAAGAAATACAAATGTTAAAATACTTTTTTTAATCATTATACTTTTACTTACTTTATACTTTAATTTTTATAGTTTAAAATAGATATTTTTAAACCTTATATTTATTTTTATTAATTATTTTTAGTCTCTATAGTTTAAAATATATTTTCTAGTCTTTATATTTATTTTTTTTAGTCATTATTTTTAATTTTTTATAACATCGTGTCTTCATAGTAAATATCTCAATTGTGTGAAGGTAAAAAAGAATTATTTTTAACAATGAACACGTAGATGAAGGTAAAAAAAGAGATACAAAGCGTAGAGAAACATGATTTAGAATAATTTCAGTAAAATAAATTTGATATTAGAGATACAAAGTTAAATTAATATTTTTGTCATGTTAATAAAAAAATTAATAATAAAGACTAAATTTTTTTTAAAAAAAGTTATAAATATAAAGACTAAAAAATCTATCTTAAACTATAGAGATTAAAAATGATAAATATATGAACTAAAAATGGTTATTTTAAATTATAAAAACTAAAAAGTAAAGTAAGGGAAGTTATAAAGATTAAAAAAAATATTTTAACTAAATAAAAATAAGAAAAATAAACAAAAAGGATTCATGTCTTTCCCTTAGTTAAGACAACAACAAGAGAAAAATTAGATACTTCTATATCATAATAATAAGTATTATATTTAAAGAAATAATAAATTTTAACATAAATATCATATTAACTTTTTAATATAATATTAGTAATTTATTTTTTTTATTTATATCTCTCTTAATAACTTTGTACTATTCTTTTTTATTAATTTATTAATTTTTTAATGTATAAAATAGGACGATACTTATTTACAAGGAGATCAGTATTTCTTTATCTTTTTATATCTTGTATTACTGTATACAAATATTCCAAAATGGGCTAATCTCTTAAAAAAAAATCATACATCCACAATTCACTAAATTATACGTTTATTCAAATTAATTCTAACATATTAAACTAGAATTATTATTTTGCGCTAGAACATTTTCGAAAACATTCTTCAATGAGAGTTTAAAAAAATTAACTTATTATGTATTTCGATTTTTATTTGTCATATAATTATTTATGGATTGAATTTTAATATTTTTAAATAAATTATTAATAAATAAAAATAATCTTATAATATATTATAAATTCAAAAAATAATTTATATATTTTAAAAAAATCTATTTATGTATATTTTAAGTATAATTTGCATATTTAAATATGAAATTTATTATAAATTTTAGTTATATAAAATAAATATTTAAAATGTTAAAATATCGGTATTTAGAAAATCAGCGTTACATCGTGGGTTTTGGTGGGGCTGTGGTGGCCAAATCGGTTCACAGTCACATTCCGGTGACGTCAGCAGCGGTTTCTGCGTGCGCTAAGTCGCTGGTTTCGGTCTCCCCAATTTCCCATTTCCTATTAACGTGATGCTCTCAATTTCTTATCATTAATTGGATTAGGGTTTTCATAAAGTCTTCTCCTTTTCCTTCGTTCTGTGCCTCTTTGATTCCCTTCCGTAGCGATCACCCTAACATGTATGTCACCCTCACCCTTTAACTATTCAATTCCGATTTGTTTTTCTTCAAATATAACCCAATGCTTTTGTGTCTTATGAATTTTGGGTTTTTGGGTTGTGTTGTATTTGTATCAACAGGTAGGTTGGTCATGAGGTGCAAACCCTACACCAAATGCTGACCTCTTGCATTTGGAGTGCCTTTTCAAATTGCATTCTTTGTGGAAATTGATACTGACGGGTGTTTTCTGAAATAAGCTGGGATAATAGAAGCTCATGGAGTTGTAGTTGCAGCTGCTGGGAATTTTGATTTGGGGCTATTGGCTTAAAGGAGGTGCTACTTCAGATAGTGGTGTATTTTGCACATGGCTCCAAATCTGAGGCTGAGGTTATGTGTTCCCTTGTTGTTTTTGTTGTTGAGTTTTTTCTTGAATTCAAATGCGGAATTGGATCATCAAGTTTCCGATAAGGTCATAGCTGCTCCTCATAAAGATGTAGGGACTAATGTAATTGATGGGACTGGTGTAGAGAATGTTTTTAATTTTGATAATGCCAATAATGTGGTGGGTAGTAGGAAGGGTGGAAGCAGTAAGGTTTCAGTTTCAACGGTCGCGTTGTTTACACTGGCAATGGCAGCTGCCACCGGTTTAGGTGCTGTGCCCTTCTTCTTTGTGGAGCTTGATCCACAGTGGGCTGGTTTGTGCAATGGAATGGCTGCAGGTGTTATGTTGGCTGCAAGCTTTGATCTAGTACAGGAAGGGCAGGAGTATGGTGCTGGAAATTGGGTTGTCATTGGAATTCTAGCCGGTGGAATTTTTATTTGGCTATGTAAAAAGGTGATGATGATTTTTCCTTTCTCTATATTGCTTAACAGATGTTGCTTGGTGTTGCAGTTTTTCTTCAGCACTGCTTCTATGCATTGTACATGTCCTGTTCCTCGATGTTTCTATGCGTGGATGCTACATTGTTGATATGAATAAGTTTCACATCAACAATGATTTAGGATAACAAAAATAAAAATTGACAATGGGTGTTCTTATTCACATCACTTGTACAAGTCACCTCTATTAATTTTTCAGTGAATTTTCATACCAATCTTCTGCTTGACAAATGTTAGCAAAATTAACAAAGTGATTATTAATTATGTGGAGTGCTTCTCCTCTTTTTCTGTTAGTCCGGGATGCATTTTTATTGTGTAATTCACAAATTTTATTCTACGAATCCTATATCTATAACTTTCTCATTTGTGTCGTACTCTTTCTCTTGGGTTTTGGCTTCAGTTCCTTGAGCAATATGGGGAAGTAAGCATGTTGGATTTAAAAGGTGCTGATGCTACCAAAGTTGTTCTTGTTATTGGAATAATGACTCTCCACTCTTTTGGGGAGGGATCTGGCGTTGGGGTATCATTTGCTGGGTCAAAGGGTTTCACTCAAGGCCTGTTGGTAACTCTGGCTATTGCGGTACACAACATACCAGAGGGATTAGCTGTGAGCATGGTGCTGGCATCAAGGGGTGTCTCTCCACAGAATGCCATGTTATGGAGCATAATTACATCTTTACCCCAGGTAGCCCTTAATTTAAGATTTTAACTATCTTAACTTATCAAGGAGAAAATTATTTTGGCTTAGTCAGCATGTCACTATGAAGAGTTACCTTTATGAGGTATATACTATAACTTTGCATTCCCTTTAGCCCACCACTGTAAACCCTGTGCTTACATTATCGTTAGGAATAAAATGATTGGATGGGTCTCATTTACTCCATTTTGTTTTGATATGCTTTTAGACTTGATCTGATTCAAGTGAGGTGTAATATGTTGCATGATTAGGCCAGTACCATTTGTAGTAGTGCATTTCACTGATTGTTAGTGGCATCCAACCTAAGAGAACTACTCTTTGTACTATTACATAGACCATCAATGATTTGGTAGAGTCCTTTAAATTCTCAATATTCTTGTATGTAATTAAATCACATTCCTTGTCAAATTGCTTTTTCATGGTGCCAAGTTGCAATGCTGGTGGGCATCTAAGAGGTTTAGTGTTACTGTTAATCCTTATGTCCTAATAATTTATTGAATATTAAATGGTTTAATATGCCTGAATGCCTGAAATAAATAAATTGCTTCATTAGTGGATGAAATATTGCTATCATTTGGGCCTTAGGCAATGCATAGACTAATTGTGATGTTTAATAGATCTAGTTGCATGCACTTAACAGTAGCCTAGACACGTTTAATTGGTGAGTCTTAGTATGTTTCATTTGTTGAACTCATGAAATAAATGTTAGCATATGCAAGGATAACAAATTTTTATGTCAATGTGGGTTTAACTTTAAGCTTGTCATTGCTGTCTTTGACCTTATCCTCCTTACATCTTATTCTGTATGTTAATGCAGCCGATTGTAGCTGTTCCTTCGTTTATTTGTGCTGATGCATTCAGCAAGTTTCTTCCTTTTTGTACGGGATTTGCTGCTGGATGCATGATTTGGATGGTTGTTGCGGAAGTGCTTCCTGATGCTTTCAAGGTTATTTCCCATTATAATTTTACGCCAAAGATATTCTCATATTATCATTTCCTGCAGCATTTTAAACTTTAAAGACTTAAAATTTGGCTTTTCATGTTTTATTATAATTCTTGTCTTTTTGGCATGGATCAACTCCGAGAGCTTAAGCTGTTTGGTAAAGGCTTGTGAATGGTTTAATACTCGTGCAATCCCTCTAAAACAATGTTCAAACCACCTTGCCCTGTGCTGTAATTTTATTTTATTTTTAACAACAGGGGTGACAAGTATTAAACCATTGTGATGCCATGTTAAAATTGTAGAACAAAATAGGAAGAAGAAAAAACCTGAATAAATGATATAAAATAATGGGTTATGTGTGTTGAAATTATTGGATTTTTATATAGAAGGAAAAAATTGAGAGAAAAGAGACTATGGATAATAATAATAATGATAATGTATTACAATGAGATGTTTTCTTAAAACCTAGAACACTAACCCTTATGTATACTAATCATAATCCTACCAAAATAAAAAACAAATCATGAGATAAGGAAATATGGTAATAAGTTGGTATCTAATAATGATGAGGAAATAGGAAAACTAATATTAAGGATAGTCTAAGATATGATAACATAATTGCATATAACATGCTGAATTTAGAGTGAGGATGGAATGGTTTGAGTGAATAGACATGCAGCATAACACAGTCACACACACACTTCACGGTACAATTTACAAGGCTAAGGATAGATGGGTGCTTCTAAACACTAATTAATCCCTATGATTATTGAATGCATTTGTGATATATGAACTGCATGCAGTTAATCTAACACTCCCCCTCAAGCTAAAGTTTATTAACCTTTATGCTATAAGCTTGTTACAAATAAACCCTTGAAAAGGTTAAAAGAGAGAGAGAGAGAGTATGGTCGCTGGTAAACATGATTATAAAGGCAGCACAGATAAATGACCACTAAATACTCTGTTGGAGTCTTTGCTGTAAAAGGTAGCACAGATAAATGTAGTTGGAAAATGCTCTTCCAAATAAAGAAAGAGAATACTACTAAGTGCTAATGATGGAAGTTGCAACTGGTAACTGCACAGTGCACGAGAATAAAGGCAACAGCACACCCTTGTTCAATTTCCACTGAAGGGTGACAAGATTACACAGCCCAAAATTAGGTGGCAGCTGGACATTGATGCATCTGAGAATGTGCTAGCAGCTGGAGATTAATCTCACCAGGAATGCTGCCAGAAGTTCAGTGGAATAGTCAGCCAATGGTCATATCTAGCTGGAAAAGGTTGCTGGTTGTGGTGGTGGTGGAGGCCAGGGGGAGAGGTGGAAGTAAAACTGTTTGCACAGAAGCATGTAACTGGAGAGAATATTTTGGGACGGATTAGAGCAAGCCAGTGGAAATTAGAACAAGTTGAAACAGGCACCAATCAAAGAGGTTCCATATTTTGGGACCATGACAGTGGAAAGGTTAGGTCAAGTGTGATTGCACTGCTCTGATTCCATGTTGAATTTAGTGTTAGAGAGATAGAAAAGGAGGGGGCATGAAATGCCATTTAGTGAGAACTGAAAAGACACTCAGCTAAGCAAACACGCATACAAATTTACAAGTCTTACTTTAAGTGGGTGCTATTTCCTAAACACCAATTTCTATGAACACTATAACTAGAAGCATTTAACATGTAATGCATGAACTCATTGAAGCCCATGCAGTTATTCTATCATATTAACAAATACTAACCTAATGCTCCTATTTAAATCTAGGTCAAGTACTGGTATCAGATGAACCCTAAAAGATTGATTACTAACATAACAAACCCCCTAACCCATGAATAACCCTATTATTCTAATTGAAAGCTTTTTTTTTGGAGGGGGTGTGAAGCGGATGACAACTTTAACTTATGTATAGGTTGATTGGAGTATGCATTACTTTCTTCTGAAAAAATATCATCCGTTCTCTTAATGGGATTTGCAGGACTTCAGCTGAGTCACATTTTTATTGTGTTGTCTTTTTTTTTTTTTTTTAACTTCTGTTTAATTTAATTGTGTTTTCAGATATATATATATATATCTAAATTAGTTTCTTTTTTTTTTTTTTTAACTTCTGTTTAATTTAATTGTGTTTTCAGATATATATATATATATCTAAATTAGTTTCTTTTTTTTTTTTTTTAACTTCTGTTTAATTTAATTGTGTTTTCAGATATATATATATATATCTAAATTAGTTTCTTTTTTTTTTTTTTTAACTTCTGTTTAATTTAATTGTGTTTTCAGATATATATATATATATCTAAATTAGTTTCTTTTTTTTTTTTTTTAACTTCTGTTTAATTTAATTGTGTTTTCAGATATATATATATATATCTAAATTAGTTTCTTTTCCTTTTGGATTATAGGAAGCCTCAGCTTCACAGGTTGCATCAGCTGCAACCCTTTCTGTAGCATTTATGGAAGCTCTCAGCACCTTCTTTCAGAATTTCAGTCATGACTACAAGTGAGTTTTGTATGAGATTTCTTTCTGGTTATCAGCTATATTACGTTGTTTGGGTTTTTTCTTGGATGAAATAGTACTAAACATACTTGCTTTGTTTTTAAATTGCAAAATATAGAGATGCAGTAAGTTACTCTCTTTTCTTTCTTCTGTTGCTGTTTTCTTTTCCCTAAATTTTGATTTCTTTGTTACAGCGCTGAGGATGCCTCTGGCTTTTTTGTTTCATTACTTTTTGGCCTTGGCCCTTTACTTGGAGGGGTTATTCTGGTTGCATTTGCTCTTGCTTTTCATCTTCAGCATGCTCTCCTCATGGGCACTGCATGTGGTATTGCCTTTGTTCTTGGTGCCTGGCGTCCAGTGCAGCTTATTTTGTCTTCAAAATTGGGATTTATTCCCGTTTTATTACTTCTTGCAATGGGGGCCGCTTTCATCCATGTTTCTACCTCTGGTGTATTGAAGGTGGCAGCTTCCAAAAAGGCTTCAGTCAATGACTTACCTACACTCACCGGTTTCCCACTTAGCGTTCACACCCTTCAATCATTCATATCGTGTGGTGCAGTCGCATTTCACGCCTTGGCTGAAGGACTTGCATTGGGAGTAGCTGCACCAAAAGCATATGGACTCGGTCGTCACATGGTCCTTCCAGTCTCTCTCCACGGACTTCCTCGAGGTGCGGCTGTGGCTAGCTGCATATTTGGAGCCACTGATAGCTGGCATGGTTCTCTTGCAACAGCTGCCATAATTGGATTTATGGGTCCAATATCAGCAATTGGAGCTATTCTTACTGGCATTGACTATAGTGGTCTTGATCACATAATGGTTCTTGCCTGTGGTGGATTGATACCTAGCTTTGGAAATGTAGTAAAGAGAGCTCTTAGTTTGGATAAGCGGAAGAGCACCTGTGGCCTCATTATGGGTATTGGGTTTGCTACTTTATGTCTAACATTCACTAGGTTGGTTTGCTTACATACACCTTACTGCAATTCTGCACCAGAGGCTGTCAGATAAGAGTCTTACGCTGTTGTAAAAGTTATATACGTTTCTGTAATTCGATTTCCCGAAACATGGTTGCTCTAATTCGAAGAGATCCTTGGTAAAGAAACTAGAAAGAGCAATTTGAACTGGACGCTAAGAGGAAGGCACAGTTTTCATATCTGTCATATTTCAGTGTTTACTTGTATATACATTTTACACATGATCAAAATTTGCCGAACAATGTAAAACACTATTGAGAAATGAAACAGGTGATTTTTCTTTTGGCGGGTTATGTACAAATAGAATCAATATTTTACAGTGTTACTGGCCTATAAGTTATTTTCTTTTATTCCTTTTTTTTTAGGAAGATTTATGACACAGTTGCAAGGTTTTTAAAACGGTCTGTGATCGTAATTGCAGCTGCAATATAAGGATTTTTGAGGTCTTTGCAACCACTAATTGTGGTCATATTATATGCATTAGTCCGTAATTTTTTACGATATTAAAAATTGTAATAAAATTGCAACTATAACTTTTTGCATAATTGTTTACCAACCACAAAATATGCATGATAATTACTTATAACCCATTTCAATTTGTGAGAAAAATTGTTGCAGTAAAATGAAAAATAAAATTCAATTTGTTTGGAAGTTAATAATAGCAAAGTAACGAGATAGGAGAAAATTTATGATTTTATCATTTCAGTGAATTGTTTATAAAGTGTTTTGATATTAAATAAATAAATAAATATTTTTAAAAGAGAAAATTTTAAAAATATAAAAGTTTAATTTTTTAAGGTTAAAATTAAGTTGTATATAAATTAAAACATAATTTGGAGAAGGTATAGTTTCTATAAATTAACTTATAAAAAAGTTTAATTAATTAATTTATTTTTAATATAATTTTTGGATAAATTTATTTAAACAAATCCATAGTATTTGATGTAACTGCATGGACGTTGAAGGGGTACGTATGGAAAATGATGGAAGCAGTGAGGAATGGACTGTCTTTATGATTTGGGTTGTTGGGTGCTTTTCAATAACTAATGCTCCTTCAAAAATCAAATGTTCATTTCTTTAATTATAAATTTTAGTTTATTTTTCAGGTAACAAATTTAGGTCAAATTTTGCAGACTGATTAATATAAATTTATACCTGCTAATAATAAAAGTTTAATTTAATTTTTATGCACAATCTTTACAAAAAAAAATAATAATCAATCAGGTAAGCAAATTTTTCTTACATATTTATGAGTGATTTTTTTTAATTATTAATATAATTTATGTTGTATTTTAAAATTAATAAATAAAGATTAATTTGTGTTTATAATTACGGTAAAAAAAATTTATTAATATTTGCATATACTCATAATAGTCGTTTGTATTAATCACTATGTTTTTTTTTTTGGTTCTTTGGGGTTTAGACTTTAGACTCAATAGGTATTTTGAAAAGGGTAGAATTGTACTGCTCTATGCCTCTATGAAATGATTTCTGTAATAAATCCAGAAAAATATTGTTGAAAGTTACTTCAAAATTATCATATCGGAATATAACTTTAAGTCGAACATGAATAAACCCGCAACACCAATGATAAAAGTAAAAATAAAAATAAATGAAAGTTACTTCAAAATTATCATATTGGAATAAAACTTTAAAGCAAATGCTGTTTAAAAGAACGAGAATCATATGAAAAATACCCTCCGTGTTCACAATATTCAATGGAGGATCAATGGTGTTAACTTTCTTTTTTTAAAACTATAAACACTTTACTAAAAGTGTCTAAACTATAACGCTCTAAATAAAAAATCTAATATTAATATAAAGAGACTCATGGAAAATGACTCAAATAATCTTACAAAATTCATGGAATTATAGGAATTCAATTGCAGTTCCAAATCGTTATTTCTTAAAAACTTTTAGAAATAAGTTTCTTACATGATTTAAGGTATTTAACAACATAGCAGATTTTAATTCTTTAAAACATTAAATTTATAATTGTTTCCTTTTTTATAAGACAAGATTTTAAATTGTTGCATATATGCTGCAACTTTGGTATTACAAATAAATGGCACTGCAGTTATTTTTTGACAAAATCACGTGGTTACAAGAATATTGTAGACCTCTTAGTACCAAGTCTACCTTTTGTTAATCAAATAAATAGAATTTCAAATAGCAAGATGTTATGGCCTCAATTACAATTATAATTTTGAACTGTTATTTTAAAAATAAATAAATAAATTTTCTTCATTCTCACATGATTACTTTGAATAATGGAAATTGTGTAAACTATATAAGTTTTATTTGAATAATATTTTTAATTAGTGTGAGACTAAACAACGCCCTTGAGAAATGACTATAATTAAATAATTTTAAATATAATTAAGTTACTTGGTTTGAGATATTTTCTTGAAATTTAAATTTAGAATTTAACTCTTAGTTATCACCATATTTGACAACATTGCATATTATTTCTTAAATATATTAAATTTATAATTCTTTACTTATTTCTAAAACGAAGTAAGTTACAATTACATGGTATTACAAAACAAAATTGCAAACAAATATAACTAGAAGCACAGTGTAGACAAATTCATGCAAATACAAAAATTTCAAACACCTTGACATTACAGCCTCAATTGTGTTTCAAACAAATCCATAAAATTACAAAATCTTAAAATACATCGTTACCCTCAACAATTACTTCCGTTATATTTTAAGAATCTTTAAAAGTAATTTATTGCTGTTACGATACGTTCTTTGCTACTTATGACGAAAAATTATGCACGAGTCCGTACGAATTGAGAAGTAATAAATTCACGATGGTCCCTAAATAAACTCTAAACCTATTATGACGGTTGTAATTCTTCGTAAAGATTTTTGTCAAAAAATAATTCGTACCATTAATCTTTTCTGCTTTTTAAAGACCATTAAACTCCCAATAAATTCCACAAACTCCATACACGTTGACCAACTGTTATTTTTAAGATTAAAATACCTTTTTACTGTCAACAGTTTCACTTTATGTTTAAAATAAATCTTTTTAATTCTTATACTTATTTTTCTAATCCATTTTAGTAAAATTAGAAATTGACAGAGGAAAATTACATATTGAAATAAAGAGGAAAAATTCAACTTGACTTGAAAAGAAAATTAATGCAACACAATTCAATATCATTATTTAGCCAATGCCTCAAACTAGAATTGTTAAAAGTTTTACAAGGATGGTCTCTATAAAAAGACAACAAAAGGGTACTATTTGAGCTGAAATAAAAAATCTACATGGCCTACATATTTTTTGTTTTCAAAAGGGAGGGAGGGGGGTCCAATACATGGCCAGACTAATTTGGCATGTTATTGTTGTTTCAGGTAGGCAGGTTTCAGCAACATACAAGCAGCAAATGCCATAATCTTGGTCTCAAACCTTAATCACCCTCTTCACTTATTTGGTGCATCACATCACATAACCTTAGTAAGTAAACCCTACACACAATTTCACAAAACAAAAAACCTTACCTTCTCCAACCGACCTTGGCCACAGTAAAAGACAAACCGCTATGAAACAAGCCAAAGTGTGTGATGCCATACGCATCAGTTTGATGGTGTTGTTCATTGATTATTATTGTTGTTATTATCATTCAGCAACCCCTCTTCCCTCTCTGATTCCACCTTCTTCTCTGCAATCAAAGCAACCTCATGCTCCTTCTGCTCCCCCCCAACACTCTGAGCACCAGTTAACCTTGCCAACACCACAAAGGACATGCCCCCAAGAACATTGTTGACACACCTCAGCACCAACACTGAGGACTTGAAAGCCAAGGGGTTGAGCACCCTCTCCAACATGAACTCAACACCATTCAGTGTTTGGTACCTCAAATTGCTGCTAACCCCCATGTGGCCAGCCCAAGTGAGGGCATTCAAAATGGTGGGTGGGGGCTTGTTGGGGGTCTCAAAGGTGGGATCCATCTTCTTCCTCATCATGATCAAACCATTTGAGAGTGTGGTTCCAACTAGCCCTGCACCAAAACCAACAACAGAAAAAATGGTGCCTTTGTACACTAGGGTTCCTAGCCTATCAAGAAGGGAATAGGCACCAGGCTCAAACATGTGACTCTTGGGGCATGAGGCAAAGAGGGCTGGTAGGTTGGATGCTGATGATGTCATGGTAGGTGCCAACAGATACATGAGAGTGAAATTCAGAATTGCCCCAACTACCAAAGTTGAAAAGACAAAGTCAAGTTCATTCAACCCAAAATTAGGCCTCGAAGCCATGTCACCTAAGACACAAGCACTCACACCCACCAACTCCTCCATCAAAACCTTGAAAGGAAACTGTGGATCAGCAGCAACCCTTGATCTCCACCCATTCAGAAACAGACCCAAAACCCCAAAAGAGGAATCTTTGGAATTTTCACCCTCTCCCCAACTTTCACCTCCGCCACCGCCACCGCCACCGCCACCACCGCCCCGTCCGACCCCATCTCCGCCGTCGCCCCCGGCGACGGAAAGTTTCAACCTTTGAGGCAAATGGGTGAAATTGGAGAGGTACAAAGGACGATTCTGAAGCTTAGGTGGTGGTGATGGCGATGATGGGAAAGAAAGTGCATGGTGTTCACCTGAGAGTGGAGAAAAACGCAACATAGCCATAGATGCCATTTGATCTGCGAAAGGGGAATGATCAAAGAGAGAAACTTTGCGATCAAATTAACGAATCTCGCATGATTCAGTCATGATCACAACAACAGATCATTGTTGGTTCATGAACATGAGAAGATATATACATAAACAAATAAAAATAAATAAATAAATAAAAAAATAAAAGGAAATTTGGAAACAAAGATGAGATTTTTGAAGAGGGTGAGGCTTACCTGGATCTGGATGGTGGGTTGGTGAGGGAATAAATGATGGCCGCTTGAGAAACCAAGCTTAAACCTTTGGAAGAAAAACCCTTTTTTTAATGTATGAAAGTTGAGGAAAGTAGAAGCAATAGAGTAGGGTAATCACTGAAGCAGGGTTTGTGATGAAGGGAAATTCACTTTTATAGTGTCATTTGGGAAATCATTATGCCAATGACTTGTGTTTTATTTGTGCAAGACAAATGGTAATACAATATAGATTTAATTACTCTATTACTTTTTTCTAAAATACTCTATTAGTTTCTATAATTTTGAGTCTTATTTTTAATTTTAAAATAATAAAACATTATATATATATATACTTTAAGTTTATATAGTTTCAAAAAAATATTTTAATTTTTCTTTATTATAATAATAAGAGAAGTACGAAATTTCACGCCCAATTGCAGCCTTTTTCTGTAATTATTTATTATAATCATTTCCAAATAATTGTAATATATTATATTGTTCTCATTATTTCTTTAAATTATATTATTTTAATTATTTCGTAAGAAAGTATACTATAATATCTTTATTTTTATTTTATTATAATTATAATTTATTTATTCTAATATATAAAAAGAAATATTTTTTTGATGTTCACTTTTTCATAGACAAATATATCTTTATATTTTTTTCTATCAATTTATATTTAAGGTTAAAATAGGAAAAATATATAAAAGTAATAATTACTCTCTTTAAAAATAATAACTATCTATTTTTTATGAAAATAATCATTTGTTTTACTTTCTAAAAAAGCACATAATGCTTTTTTTCTAATATATATATATATTATAATAAAAGGAAAAGTGCGAAATTTCTTGTCTAATTGCAACTTCTTTTCATGATTTTACTTTTTTTAGTTAATTATTATAATCATTTCGTAATAATTGCAACGTGATTATATCAATTTTAATTAAAAAAATTATATCAATTTCATTATTTCCTTAAATTATATTATTTTAATTATTTATTATAATTATTTCGTGAGAAAGTATAATATAGCATTCATATGAATATCTATTGCAACTATAAGGTTTGAGAAATACTCTATAGCAAATATAAGAAAATGTAATTATAAATATTTCATATGAATATCTTGTATTTAATATAAGAAAATTTAATTGTAATCATTTTGTATGAATATTCTGTCTTTAACATAAGAAAATATAATTCTAACTAAATTTCAAATATAAAAAATATGATTATAATCATTCAAATGAATATTTTGATTTTAATATAATAAAATATAATTATAATCATTTCGTATGAATATTCTATCATTAATATAAGAAAATACAATTATAATTAAATATGAATATATATATATATATATATATATATATATA